ACCGGCGCGCCCGGCGCTGCTCCTGCTCCTCGCTGCTGGACGAGGAGTGCGTCTACTTCTGCCACCTCGACATCATCTGGATCAACACCCCCGAGTGAGTGAGTGGACCGGGGTGGGGTGGTAAGGGGGTGGCGGGGGTCCGAGCTTCGGTTGGAAAAAGTGGGGAGGAAGGAAAAACAATCAAGAGCCACAAACCCACCTGCAGAAATGGGAAGGGGAGGAAGGAACAGTTGTTTGTGCGGTCTCGCCTATTGCTTCCCTCCCGCCTCCAGCTTTTCTGCAGAGTTTTGACTGTTCACTGGGAGAAAGTGAGCGGGATTAGACCACCTAGATTGAGCAGATAGCTCCTAATAGCCCGCGCACACCTGCATTCCTAAAATCTGGGCAGAAGTAGTTCCTTTGGGTGCTGCTCAGCAAAGGCTGCGGGATACTTTTCACTATGAATCAGAAGCAGACAAAATGCCAAAAGTATGATTTTGCCAGCCTGAATTTGCCTGACCGTTTTTACTGTCCGACAAGTTAGGAGGCTAGAAGGCTTACTTTGACACAGGGTGGCTCCTTGACACCTCTTGCTGCTCTCTGCTGCAAGTTAATGCATCCCACGTGTTATTAGGGTTATGTACAGTGTCCGTTTCTACGCTGTCCTCACCAAAAAGTAGTGAGCCAGAGCCTCACCTAACACTGCAAACACCGACTCTGGTGATTTGTTCTGCTGCTGGGTTTCCTCTGAGCACAGAGGACCTGTTCCTCACTTTTACTGCTTTTTTCAGTGCTTCTTTTAGTGTTGGCAGTTACCAAAGTTCAAAGAGATGAGGGTTTATTGCTTTCTATTGCACCGGGAGGCACAGCAGCCTTATGAAATCACAATTAAAAGGTTATTAGCCTTGTCAGATGCCATGCTAATGAGTATGTTGGAGGATCATCAGAAGCATTTGCGTGGAAACTATGACCAACAAGGCATTCCCAATCCCACAACCTTTACTCATGCAATCAATCCCATTGATAAGATTTCCCAAAATACCCCACTGTTTTGGAGCCACAGAATTGTTTGAATGACTTTCATGTTGTCTCTTTGATCGTAGGAAGACTGTTCCATATGGTCTTGGAGGGCCTTCTCGATCCAGAAGATCGCTGAAGGACATGGTGCCAGAGATGCTCACTGAACCTAACAGTAGATGCCGATGTGCCAACCAGAAGGACAAGAAATGTCTGAACTTCTGCCAGACAGGAAAAGATCTCTGGTGGGTCTATTGTTGCTACTCTTTACAAGGCAGTGCATGTAAAAGGGATGGATTGTGGTAGACTTACTCATTTTGGCACTTGCTGAGTGAATAATCTCCCCAAAGCCTTGCCTCCTACCTGAGTGCTCACACTGCTATGATACATACTGTGGTTTGGCCCAGAAAGATCACTTATTACATGCCTTGAGAAGTGATTGATGAGATGCTTCACCTTGTGGACTGCAGACTTTTTTTTTTTTTAACAGCAACGCCTTTTCACTTTTAACAGGGATCAATCCACAGTGGATAAAACCTCACGTCACCGCAACAAAGCTGGCAATTGCATCGGACCCAAATGCATGAACCAACAGCTTGTTGACAGCAAGAAAATGAAGCGGTGAGTTTCTTCTCATCCTGCTTGTAGTTCCCCAAAGTAGCTATAGAGAGCACAGTTCACCTGCCTTTGGGTCAGCCTGCGCTTGGCTGGTGATCACAGCTCGAGAGTTATGGAGGAATCAGTGACGATATCTGAAGGGTTTTTCTTCGTGCAGTGGGTCTTTAGATTGTGAAGACACTGGTGCTGAGCTCTGCCCAGCACCCTCCATTTGCTTAGAGGAAGCAGGCTTAGTTGTAGGCCTAAAGGTACGCCGAACTTCAGAAGAGTATGAAATTATGAAATACTGACAGAAATAAATAGAGCCTGTCATTTTAGTGTATTCATGCACTATCTTAACTACTTAAAAATATTATGTCCCAACTATTCTAATATGAAATTGAATCAGAATGCCTTTCCTTAGATACTTTACTCCATTTTACTGGAGGGGAGGGGGAAAGAAGATTATCGATTTATCCAGATTTTGATTATATTGTTTCTTCTGGCTGGTGTGGCTGGCTCTTTAGAACCCAGGAGGCGGATTTCTACCTGCCTTGTCTCTTACGTTACCCGATAAACCTGTGCAAAATGGGGGCAGGATGGTAGTGATGGAAATGACTGCAAAAAGGTTGAGGAAAGGGAAAATGAAGACTAAATTAAGACCTGAGCTCAATTTAGTGTTTGAGATTAGGAGTAAGTTTCAGGACTCCCTTTGAGGTCTGTGTATAATAAGTTGAGTGGCGGTAGGCAGCAATAGCACTCCACAGTGCAGTTCAGAGATGCACGCATTGGACTTGGTGCCAGCTGTGAACCCCACAGAGGTGAAGTCAATTTTGAAGCTGAGTGTTAGTACAGCTACATCAGGTCTGGAGTTCAATATTCGGCCATATACACATATAAAACTATGGCCTACAGAAGTTTGCCCATACAAAAGAAGACTCTTTAGTGCTACTTTCAAGAGCAGAACAGGATTTATGGGAGCAGGCAGCCTGCCGAGTTTGAGTGAGACTTAGGCCCTGGAAGTCTTAAATAGTTTTTGAAAATGGGGCTTGCTTGCTTACTTACTTGATAAAAGCACCCATTCATTGGAACCAGGATCGGGTTAACCTAAAAGAAACAGAACAGCCAAAAGGAGTAACGCTGAAGACCTCTTGATTGGATACGTGCTGTTTGAGGAAGTCTAGGGCATCTATATTTGAATGAATATTTTAACTTATTTTAATGTTTGCATTTAAATTCTGACTCCTGATATTCCAAGTGGCTTAAGTTAGCGTAATTCTGGCAGAGGTATAGAAAACAGCAGTTATGGGGATCCCATGGCAGAAATGTAGACTGAGGCTTGTTTCATCAAAAACTGAATGTCTGCACACTGGAGATGCATCTTCATTATTTTAGCAATAAATGTATATTTCTTATTTTTGCAGGCTGGAAGCCATTGGTAACAGTATCAAAGCATCCTTCAGTATTGCAAAGCTGAAGGCTGAGCTCCAGAAAGGGCGGAAGCTGAAACATAACAGGGCGAACAAAAAGCAAAGCATCTGGGAAAGCCTGGAAGCATCCTAGTGGGAAGATCACCCGAATCTTTCTCCATCACACTTGCTGACAAAGCGCCACCAAAACTCTCTCTTGACTTCTAACATTCCACAAGGGCGAAGGGCCCCACTGTCCATGTGTTTGCACAAGCTGAGCAAAACACTAAGGAAGTCCCGTATTGGGAGGTGTAAAAGCAAAGGATTTCATCATTTTGGAATTCAGATGGACGGGTAGAGGGGGTAAAGGGGAATTTGCAGTAACATACATGAAAAGTCATCTTTCTGAAGAAACATTTGAATAACTCCTCTGGAATGTTACCCATCAATTAATTGAGCAGCTTTCAAAAGTATCTTGCAAAGAGGACCTCACAGATGTGCTTAGAAAGGACAGAAAGCAAGATCTGAGTGGACAAACTTCAAAGCAAAAAACTCTACCTTTTGATTAAAATGCAAGAATGAAAGCCACAGTGCTACTTTAGTCAGGACTTAATGCATATATACATGTCTACCTCGCGTACTGTTTGTTGCACTCCTGCTAGAGTATTTTTACACCTTGTTATTGCCTTTACTAATCAGCTGCAACCCTTTGCCTTTTTTCAGAAGTCTAGTTTACTTGTACAACCAGAGTTATCTGAACGTGGGTTAGACTCTGTGGTTGTTTGCATAGTCAAAGTCCTTTGGGTTTGGATGCCAAAGGACTCTTCAACATAAAATAAAAGTTAGAGGACACTACTGGGTTTCCCATAACAAGGATATTTGGCTAACTGAAGTTCTAATAATAGAGGTTGTTGTGTCTTACGTGCCACCAAAAATGCACTGAAGTGGGGATGTACCAGAGGCTGTTGCGAGATTTATTCAGTGCCTTGTTTGGTGGAAACGCATCGAGACAAAGGGTTGTTTTGAATTATGTCAAAAGGCTAATATTGGGTGAATGTTTATAGCAGTGAATTTGTTCACATTGTTGAATTTGCTGACAGGTTGAATCTTATGTGCTTATTTTCTGTGTTTTGTATTTATATTCACACAAGTTCTTCATTATATTTACCATGTTGAATACACATTGAAGTAGGCCATATTGGTCTATGCATGTTTTATGTATTTCTGTATGAAATTGGGAAATGCTTTATGCCTATCAAGGTAAATATCTTCAGAAATAAATATTTTTAATTACTGTATTGCCTTGTTTTTCATATGCCCTGCTTTTCCGTAGGCTGTGGCTCCACAATCATGGAGGCGGATGGCCCCACGTACAAAGCAGACCTACATGAAGTGTGTGCATGATTGCCTTTCTGTCAGATTAGCCACATCACAGAAAGGTTATACCAAATGTGAGACAACAGATAATACTTGTTCTAGCTTCAAGCTTGCTCGTAAAGCTTCACAGTGAAATTTGAATTGGCCAAATGAATTTATCCTGGAGCAGCACTCTCACATGGCTGATGTCTTTTTCATCGAATAGTACAAACTCTAATGTTGGATTCACTGCACCATTAAAATATGGCCAATAAAGGGTTGGATATAGATGAGCTAAAGGAGAAAATGCACACACTGGATGCTTTGTGGGCTACATTGGATTAGGCTGTGTTATGTTATTTATTACCATACTATCCCAAAGAGTCTCAGCCCAGCCCAGGAAAGTTAAAGGTGGAGACCTTGGTGGAGACCTCAGTGGATCCTGGCTCAAGCTCAGGAAAGAGCCAGAGCAGTAGTCAAACTTTGCGTGTCTCCAAACACTGGCCTAAAGTGGTTATAGCTGGAAAGATGCTTAAAGCAAATAAATGGATTTAATCACCTCTGATCCTATAGGAGAAAAAAAAACCCACGAGAGTTAATCTATGAATAAAACTGAGTGTTTTGTTGGGTTTTTTTAAAGCAAATTTTTACAAATACAATACAAAGTGTGTGTCACTTGCAAATGCTGACAGCAGTCACCATTAAAAATTGCTGAAATTAACCTGGAGAAAAGGAGGCGGAAGGGACACCTTATTGCTCTCTATAACTACCTGAAAGGAGGTTGTACCGAGGTGGGGGTCAACCTCTTCCCGCTAGTAACAAGCGATAGGACAAGAGGAAATGGCCTCAAGTTACGCCAGGGGAGGTTTAGACTGGTTATTAGGAAAAATTTCTTCACCAAAGGGACTATCAAGCATTAGAACAGGCTGCCCAGGGAAGTGGTGGAGTCGCCATCCTTGAAGGTTATTTAAAAGACGAGTAGACGTGGTGCTTAGGGACATGGTTTAGTGGTGGTTTTGGCAGTGTTAGGTTGATGGTTGGACTTGATGATCTTAAAGGTCCCTTCCAACCTAGACAATTCTACTATTCTGTGTTCTGAATTTCTTGTCAATACTCATTCATTTGCAGCATTTTTCACACCCAAAAAACAGAACGCTAAATAAAGTCTGTGTCATGTTTCCTTCACACTGTTCTGCTACATCTTGAGGCAGTAATTCAGTGGAGAGGTGGCAGTGCTGGCAGCCGGTGTCTGACAGCAGAGCCTGGCCCAGGCAAGTGAGAAGGAATCGGGAGCTCTTGCCCTTCTGCAGGGCAGGATGTGGCCCCCAGAGCTGCCCTTTGATCTCTGCATCGCCCGGGCTAACTGCTCAAGATGTGCATGGGGTGGTGACCTCTGTAAGGTGTGAAGAGACCTCACTAACGCTCCCCTGTTTTCCATTTCTTCCACTCCTGGTGGTCGCCTTTGGCAAGGAAAATGAACAAGCAAGTAGTCGAGGCGCTGCCTCTCACCCAGCTGACATGGCAGGCGAGCGGGTGGTGTGGGGTGCCCGCTGCTAGGGAAGGGGCTGTGCATCGGCATCCCCATCCCAGTTGCTCCTGTTTTCTCTCCTGGGAGAGAGTGGGAGGTGAGGAGGGATGCTGGGAGCAGAGGAGGAGCGCCTGTGCTGTTATTGAGGCTAGCTAGCTGGATTTTGTATGTGGCTGGGCTAAATGGTGCTGTGGGCGGGCTTTAGTAGCCCAAATTCCTGGCCAGCTGCTTAAGGGATTCTTGACAGATGATCCTAAAAATAAACCTGTTCTTTCTAGGGTTTACTCTGACCATGCCTGGACTCAAAAACTGGCTTTCATCCTCCTTTCCTTCCCCCTAAACTGACCCTGGTGCTTGCCCATGCTGCAGCTTTGGGTAGTGATGGGCACCCACTGCCTTTTGGGGTAGGGACAGTCGCCAGAGCTGTGTGAGGTAAACTAAGAGCCCTGCACAGCACCTAGCCCGAGCAGCAAAGGAAAGAGCAGAAGGAAGGTTAGATGCCTCAATGCTAGGGGCTTGCGGGCTTTGGGAAGCGTGGCCAAAGCCATTTCGTGTTGCCCAGCCTGCTCCAGGGGCCTGCTGGCTTGCGGCAGGGGCAGAAGGGGATTTGTCCCTCACCCCGCGCTATTTACCTTCTGGCATAGGAGCATAAACTGCAGCTTACCCTGGTTTGCATTAATGAGCTGGACCAAAAGCCAGAATTTAACAGTCTGTTTGTCTCACTGAATAAGCAAAAGGGAACATGAAGCATTTTTATCTTAAGGCTGGCTCACATACAAGTACCAGGGTCTGTCCCAGAGGTTTGCTCCTTCTCAAAGCGAGCTCCATAGCAGAAAAAGATCCAATAACTCAGGCCAGAACCCCCGGTGAAAAAAGAGAGGCATGGTATGTACTGGGATTTACGGCACTGAACGCAGAGCAGTGTAAAAGTACATTCTTACTTATAATAAACGACCTGAGTGAAAAAATATTCTACCTGAAGCCAATGGAAACATTGTGCTAACTGCAGAGGCAAGGCTGCAGAGTCAGGGCTCTCGTTCCTCTAACTAGAACTAATCTCACTTCTTCTCTTAAAAAGTAAACCTTTCATGGCCGTGATCAATCTCCTTCTTAAGTGAGAGGTTCTTCTAACCCAGCATGAAATTTGAGAAAGACAAAGGGAAGCATACAGAGAAGAGGGCCATCACTTTCCAGCATGGCCATAATGGTCCCAAAATACACCTGATGTACGGCTGAGATTCCAGCTGGATCAAGAGCAAGGAAAGGCCCCATTCCTGAGGTGTTATGTACTTGTATCTCCCTTCTCTGATTTTTCCTGGGTTCAGCATGGCCATTTCCAAACTTGCAAAAAGTTTCGCAAGAAAAGACAACTATTTCTTTCCAAAATTAAGCTTGCTGTACTTATTTTTATTCAACACTTTGTGTAATTCTTTCTTGCTCAGCTGGTTTATTTTTATTTTCTCTGGATAAAGGCTGTTTTGACTATATATCAAAAAAAGGTATACAATAAAACAAAGCTTCGACATGTGAGTCAGGCTTCAAGTCAGGAAAATACTACAATGCTACTGAATTTTTTTCCATCTTATCTACATATTTCTGACCTAATTTTTCCAGAAATGGCAACTCTAATCTGTACCATGTTATCATGAACTGCCCCAAAATAATTCATGCAGGATGTCCTAATGTTGCCTATAGAAGTTACCAAATACCAGACTCTTTGTTCATGTTTCCTTACATTAGGATAAATTTAGCCACCACAACACACTTCTATATTTACAAACACAGAATGAGCTGGATAAACCGCTGTTTGAATCCTATCTGACGTTTACTTTCTTCACACTCAACTGTTTGCCTCTGTGTATATAAAACCATATCAATTTTGACTTCGTCTGCATCATGGTGCTATTATTAGGTTGCTTGGGTAGAAATCCATCTTCCATTCGCAGCCGATATCTTTATTTAATTTACTGTTCTTTCTTCGTGACCTAGGAAACAAAAGGATGGAGTTTTTGATTAATTAGATGAGAATGCTTGGAGGCTGTGATGGTGAGTGTAAGCATGCAAAGAGACAGAGTGCCACAGATAAAGTACAAAGATAGTGGCAGGATCGTTTTTTTCTGAGGTAAACATTGTGCAAATGACATTTCAGAAACTGAGCCAGGATGGGTGTTCGTGTCTGTCTTTATTTTATACCTCTGATCAAATCTGAGGTAAGTGAAAAATGATAGGGAAGCCTATTTTGCTATTTCTCAATATGGTTAAACAATCAGCTGGTATGTCTTGTCTTGGGACAAGTTCCTCTGCTCGGATCAGGTCAAGGAG